AACTACTGTTCAAGGTAAATCTTCAAACTGTTCAAATAACTGTTCATCTCCTATATGTCATCTATAAATAAACATGTACTTGATAAGAATCACTCCACCAATGGTACTTTTTAATGAAACTTTTATATTATAGCCGGTATTTTAAAAGAAATATTTACTTTAACAATATTTAATACTATCTTGTAGCAGTAGCATATGAAAAATATTTATACATTAAGCATTTCTTTTTTACTAAATAATGCTTTATTGGAAGTGGAAGAGATTGGCCATAAAACAAAGTTACAGACAAAAGTTGTGCAATAAGTTACATCAGCATTTTGCAAGCTCACCAACTGCAACAATTCCATCTTCGACAATCAAGGTCAACTAATAAGTTGCCCACACGAAGTCAAACACTTTTAACAGTCAAGGTCAATTTTAAAATGTTGCCCACACACCAAGTCATACACTTTTAACAGTCAAGGTCAACTTTAAAATGTTGCCCACACACCAAGTCATACACTTTTAACAGTCAAGGTCAACTTTAAAATGTTGCCCACACACCAAGTCATACAGCCCACACACCAAGTCATACACTTTTAACAGTCAAGGTCAACTTTAAAATGTTGCCCACACACCAAGTCATACACTTTTAACAGTCAAGGTCAACTTTAAAATGTTGCCCACACACCAAGTCATACATTTTTAACAGTCAAGGTCAACTTTAAAATGTTGCCCACACACCAAGTCATACACTTTTAACAATCAAGGTCAACTTTAAAATGTTGCCCACACACCAAGTCATACACTTTTAACAGTCAAGGTCAACTTTAAAATGTTGCCCACACACCAAGTCATACACTTTTAACAGTCAAGGTCAACTTTAAAATGTTGCCCACACACCAAGTCATACACTTTTAACAATTGAGGTCAACTTTAAAATGTTGCCCACACACCAAGTCATACACTTTTAACAATTGAGGTCAACTTTAAAATGTTGCCCACACACCAAGTCATACACTTTTAACAATCAAGGTCAACCTAAAAGTTGCCCACACACAAAGTCATACACTTAACAATCTAAGTCAACTAAAATGTTGCCCACACACAAAGTCATACAGTTTTAACAATCAAAGTCAACTAAAAAGTTGCCCACACACCAAGTCATACAGTTTTAACAATCAAAGTCAACTAAAAAGTTTCCCACACACCAAGTCATACAGTTTTAACAATCAAAGTCAACTAAAAAGTTGCCCACACACCAAGTCATACACTTTTTTAACAATCAAAACAAGGTCAACTTAAAATTAAAAGTTTCCCACACACCAAGTCTTACACTCAACCAGATCATACACCAGGTCATACACTCTGCCCACATACCAAGTCATACACTCTGATCACACACCAAGTCATACACTCTGATCAAACACCACATCATACACTCTGATCACAAACCACATTATACTCTTTATACACTCTGCTCACACATCATGCCGTACACCCTGCCCACACATCAAGTCATATACTCTTCTCACATATCAAGTCATACACTCGCATACTTAATGTAACCATCTCAACTTCAACAATATCTATATTAGTATTAGGTTTTAAAAAGGATTTTCTACCATAATATTTACCACAAAATGGTTTGCATTTCTATTAAGTACTTGTCGCCACTTTAATGATGTCTCATTTCATTATTTTCTGTATTAATCAGTGAGTTTTGATTAGTGTCTTTAAACTATAATCGTATACTCTTCTATAACCATCTACAGTTGTGGTGACTTCTATCTTTGTTCAATAAAATATTTGCATATAGGCTGCCATTTTTGTAGCCACATGGCCATTGACATACATTTCATAAATACATACAGTATGATACAGCTGATCTTAAATTAGAGGTAATGCTTTATGGAGGAGGTCAACAATAGAAAAAAACACCAATAATAAAATATTACGGTAACAAAAATGTCACTAATTGTGATTTACAAGTCAATGATTGACTCATTCAAAATAATTTTACGTCTATTCAAAAACACACATAATAATATCATGAATTAGCTGGGGAAAAAATGTATAATTAATTATGAGTTTCCAATCTAACATTAAATTCGTTACAGTTAACAAAGAACTGTACCAAAGAACTGTACAAAAGAACTGTACAAAAGAACTGTACAAAAGTTGTGAAATGATCATTGCCAACAGAGGTTAAACAAATCTTTTTTTTTTTAAATACCCGGTACTAAAATAAAGCTACTTCTGATATACCGGTATTATATTTTATTTTCAACAAACTCAAAGGTCTTTTACAAACTAATTGAAATTACTAGAATTTAGATACAATGTTTCAAAAGTGAGTGCTAGCCCTAACCTTAACCCTATCAGCAACAAAAGTGATTGCTAGCCCTAACCTTAACCCTACCAGCAACAAAAGTGATAGCTAGCCCTAACCCTATCTAGCAACAAAAATGATTGCTAGCCATAACCCGTTTTAATTTAAAATAATTTTTTAAATATTCCCATTACATTTGTGATGGTGTTTCAGGCTTAGTACTTAGTATGTGTGCATCTTAGTGATTTTAGTGTGGATGTCATTTGTCATATGCACAGCTTAGTGGATGTTATTTGTCATGTACACAACTTAGTGGATGTAATATTTCCATGTAAATTTATTGTTATTAAACATTGTTATTCCAGAAGTCAAACTGATCCAAATGTAATAAAAATGAGCACAAGTCTTCATTTTTTGACTGATTCAAATGTGTCTCATGTTTGATCCAATGTCTCTATACATTGTCCTATTTATACCAGTACATTTCAAAATTTTTGAATCATGGTTCTTATAAAAAAAGCATAATGTAACAACTAACAAATGCATCCAAACAATATCCAAATCAGTAAAAAATATATAACGATTAAAACAAATTATGAATTTTCAATGCAAAGTGGTCACTGACAGAGGAAAGTGTTTCAATTATCATTTCTTCATATGTACACTATGGACAGAATTGTGTGTTTATTATATAAATCATGCAGTCATATAGACAGACACAAAAATACAAGGGAACATATTGAAACGAATCACATCTAAAACAAACAGCCTTTAAAACTTTCATAGGATCTCTAGCTTCACATGTGTTTGGAAACAAAATTACAACCACTCATATTAGCATAGCAGTCACTCATAAAGGACGTCCACAAAGCGGAGGGAGGGGTTATTTGCTCAAATACGGACATGGGGTGTAAAGGATCTTGCAGATGTCCGCAAGCTATATTGTTATATGCTGCTTCAGGTCAAAAGAGAAATGTTTAATTTCAGGAGTCATCTATGGCTGATCTTTTGCTGGAATAATTATACCTAATCTTTAACCACCAAGAATTTAGTAAAAACTTCACGACGAAGACTAACATTTGCCCGCTATTTATCATCAATTAAAAACATGCAAATTTGGGCTTTTAAATTGTTTTCTCTAATTCTAAGGTCAGGTTGACTTTAATCGAATGTCCTATTTGCAATAAATATCAAACCAATGATATCCAGAGCCCAAACAACACCGTTCTAATCATAAAAATTGCTGATGATACCACCATCGTTAGCTTAATATCTTAATCTTATACTGCAACTTAGTTACAAGCTTTATCAGTTGACCAGATAAAAAAAAAATTCAGTTGAATGTCTCCACAAAAAAAAAAAGAAATCGTTGTCGATTTCCGGAGGGGGTACTCACCCAATTACAGATCTAACAATAAAAAAAATCAAAGTATAAGAGCTTCTAGAGACGACCATTAAAAATAAGCTAACATGGCATGAACGCGGATAAATTCTGTATAAAAAAAGGCAACCAAAGACTTTTCTGTCTAAACAATTGTACAATTTCTGCATAAACAAACAAGTTATTAACTTATACTACAGTGCAACAATTGGAAGCCTACTGAACTTCAGTGTTTTCCACTGGTATGGGACTTCATCATCTGACATCAAACACCTATTAAATAGACTAATGAAGAAAGCTAGTAACATCTCACAAACTAAACATCCATCACTAGGAGAACTATTTGAATTTGAAGAAAAATGTTGTAAAACTAAACAAATTTGGATGATGCAGCTCACCCTCTTCATCACAGATACATAAGATCAGCTTGATCAGGGAGAATTCTTTCTCTTAAAGTTAAAACCAAAAGATATACAAATTATTTTGTTCCTCAGAGAGTGTACCACCAAAACTCCAGAGATAAACGGCTCAAAGGCAGACCGACTCTTAGATGGATGGATGATGAGGAAAAAGATCTACAGCAGCTTGGAATCCAAGCTTAGAAAAGAAAATCATCAGTTAGATCTGAGTGGAAGGATGTGGTGAGGCAGGCAAAAGGGATCGATAGAATAAAAAAAAATCTCCATTTATTTGGATCAATAAAAGAATTGTGTCTGATCAATAAAGAAACACTATTATTTACATTCCTAGACTTATTTAGCTGTTTAAAACTAGTAACTCTTTGCTCTTTATAACAGTTGATATACTTATGGTATTTGGCAAGACGTGTTGGGGGGAGGAGGGGAGGGGGGGGTGTTAAGGTAAGTCACATACAGACAAGTATGGATGGAGAAGATGAATGTTATTTGTAGACGTCCTTATGAACTACCCCTGCAGAAATATACATAGAAGTATTCTGCTTAGAAATAGCACCTTTTTCCTATAGCATGAAATCAAATATTTGATTTTAAGGTTGCCCAACCATGCAATTAGATTTGTTTCCTTTTCCCAATCGCTCAAGTTCAAATAATTGATTTACATAGTGCTCAACCACTCTATTAGGTTTGTTGATGATGGAACATACATTAAAACTGTTAAACAATTCCTACTCTCATTTATAGCCATATTTGAGGAGGGGAATTTTCCCCATTTAAATTCACTACCTTCCGTGAAACAAAATTAACATATTCAAATTATTTGATCTTTTCAAAAATGTATAGCACCCGGTCTAAATATTTCATTAAAATGATTGAATCACATTATTTCATCTTATGATTTGTCATTAGCATGAGATTTTAAATGTTTATTATGTTTTGTTATTTCGAGAAATCCCTTGCCGCACACACTACAGTGAAAAGGCCTTTGCACCTCATGTATTTTTTTGTGCCTCGTCAGCTTAAATGTGTGTTCAAATGCTTTTCCGCATACACAGCATCTGTAAGGTTTACTGCCCGAGTGCATCAATTTATGTCTCGTCAGATCCCCTTTGTATGCATAAGATACATCACATTTATCACATTTAAATGGTTTCATCTGAAAATGAACCACAGCTTTATGCATGCTGAGGCTGCGATAGCTGCTAAAACCTTTATCACATGCGTCACACGTATAGGGTTTACCACCAAAGTGCAAAAGTTTATGGCGCAGGAGGGTCTCTTCCTTTTTGAAAATAAATCCACAAATATCACACTTCCACACATCGTCAACAATAGGTTTTACATTATGACTTCTTAAATGGCGATTAAGTTTGTAAAAAAGTGGAAATCCTAAACCACAAAGGTGGCAAATAAAGGGTCTGTCATCTGTGTGCGTGGTCATATGTCTGCTTAAGGAATATTTTTTATAGAATTGTTTACTGCAAATTTCACAATTGTATTGTCTCTTTTCAAAGTGTATTCTTTTGTGCCTGATGAGTCCGCATTCATTTTTTACTGTCTTTCCACAGATGTCACATTCCAGTTTGACATCACTATCTTTAGCAGTTTCAATTGAATTGTCATTGTTATGCCCGATCTCATTAGCATCCTCTACATCTGACCTGTGTTTAAAATTTGTAGAGTCAGCAAACCTACTAATTTCATCAAATTTGTCTTGAGATGTCAGCATGTGTTTTTTCACGTGGCATGTGAATCTATCTTTTCTGGCAAAACTAGCAAAGCAAATAAGACACTGAAAAGGTTTCTCACCAGTGTGAGTAGCTTTATGTCTGTTGAGTTTATAAGTTCCTGTAAACACTTTGTCACATAAGTCACACTTATGCAACTTTGTTGAACAGTGATTCTTTCGTTTGGGTAAAGACTTCATGTCTTGGGGGATAAATTTGAAGTCTGCATCAGACACTGTATTGGTACTTGGAGAACTTACCGAGCTGAAATCTTTCTCACTTTTGATAATGGGATTTCCTTGACCAATTCCTTCGACCTCTGCCATAATGACATCAACCAGTTCAGTATCTTTATCCATGCTACATTCAACTGAAGATGTTGCAACTTCATCTCTTTCTGATTTGATCTCAGTGCTTGACACATCACCCGCTTCATTTAATATATCAACTTGGTTAGCATCATGTTTTTTCATATGAGCAGTTAACCTCTCCCTTCTTGTGAATTTAGCATCGCAGACACCACATTCAAAAGGTTTTTCTCCAGTGTGGATCAGCTTGTGCCTGTTAAATTTATAGCTACCTCGAAACTGTAAACCGCAAACGTCACACTTGAATGATTTTTTGGGACGTTGTAAAGTTTCTATCATCATACAAGCTAATGACTCTAAGTTCTGCATGCCAGAATCAATCACCGAAGTACCTTCCTGTGGGTCCGATTCCTTCAGTGTTGATAAAGTCTCCTGGCAATTACTTTGCTCCGGAACACTTACGTGAGGTACACAATCATTACATTTAGCCAATGAATCATGAAATTCATTATTAAGTTCTGAATTTTCCTCCAATTTTACATTACTGCTAGTTAAAGCACAATCAATACGAGATAACGAAGTAGCGTCATTTGTATTTCCATCCACATTTCCAGAGTACTCAAACTTATTTGCTTTGTCAAGATAAGAGGTCATCTTTCTATTTTTAGCAAGCTTGCGCTGACGGCCACAAGGTTTATTATATATCTTACATTTCTCAGCCTTGCCAATTACATGTTTCTTTACATGAGCTGATAATCTTTCTTTACGAGTGAATTTGCTCCCGCAAATCTCGCATTCAAATGGTTTTGCTCCGGTATGAGTCACCATGTGCCTATTAAGTTTATAGTTACCAGTAAATTTTAGGCCACATGTTTCACATTCATAAGTTCCTCTAGTCCGTTTTTGAGGCAATAAATCCTGAGTTGAGTCATCGATGGTTTTCGAAGTATCATCCCGAAATGTATTTCTTATCCTGGATTTAGAGGAGAGAACTGAAGAATTCAAGAGGTCACTTTGGCTAGTTTCATTGTCAGCTTGATCACTTTGACTAGTTTCATCTTCACTTTGGAGAGGAAGCACCTGCATCTGTCTAACAGATTTGTCATTAAGAGCATCAGAATTTGGGGGCTTTTCTGCTTTGATAGATAGATCAAGTGCAGGGCTATGTATTAAACTAGAGTTGGGATGTTTAGTATTGTAGAGACCATCTGATATATTAAGAGTACTCTCTTCCTGTTCATCGCAATTTACAGGTTCAACTTTGATGTGAATTTTCAAATCATCAACATTTTGAAGAGTATACTGTTTTGGTTTATTTGTAACTTTCTTATTATTGACTTGTTCAGTCATTTCTTTCAATAAATTGGTATTGCCATTGAGCTCATTTACTTTTAGTTCAAAATCTCCAACAGATTTGGTCAGTTTCTTTTCCAAGGTATCACCCATTTTCTATTCCTTTCTTTTTTTAGTGTAGCATTTTCCAACCGTACATACATTAACTTGATGTTAATGGTTGAGGAGGGGTGAGTCTGTCATCATCTGCAAAGATTTAGTTTCAATCTGAAATATAATATGTAAAATATCAAAAGATAATTGATCTCACGTTAAATAATAAAAAAAAAAAAAATTTAAAAACTCAAATAACTGATCAGACATTCATCATTCTTTTACTTTTATAATTATAATTAAAGTAGCTGACTATGCAAACCAGAATTTTCAACACAAATTTCAAAACTCTCCTACTCTGTGGAGCTGAAACTTGGTGAACAACAGCTAGCAATATGCATAAAGTAAGACCTTCATTAACACTTGCCTTAGAAAGATCCTGAAAATCAAATAACAAACGCCATCACAAAGACTTACTTGAAAGGATATACCAGGAGCAAAGGCGTCATTTCAGGTTTTTTGAGGGGGAAGGGGGGGGGGGTGGGGGGATGCCCCTGAGCACTAGCCTATTGCTGAAGACATAACGATATCATGGATGTGGATAGAGCACACTCATGACAAACACCCAGTTAACATCACCGGACAATCCTTAACATGGAATCCACAGGGAAAAAGAAATAGAGGAAGGCCTAAGAATACATGGAGATGTGAGCTAGAAGCAGACACGCAAGGTATGGGATACATATGGAAGCAACTGGAAAGGAAAGCACAGGACCGAGATGAATGAAAAATTCATGTAGACAGCCTATATCCTAGACGGATTAAAAGGCGTAAGTAAGTAAGTAACTTACTTTTATTAAAATATGCATATGCTGAGGTTAACAAAACTTAACAAGAGCCCTTTTTCTCATTGTCTTTGCCAATACAATACAATACAGGCTTGAAAAAGCATGAACTTCTTTGTACACTAACCTAAGTCTTCTTTGTACACTAACCTAAGTCTTCTTTGTACCGGTACACTAACCTAAGTGTTAATTTGAATCTTAATAGATTATCCATATTAGCCTGTAAGCATTTCTATTACAGCTTGCTCCTTACAAAACGAGACCTCACGATAAAAAATAAATAATAATCTTGCCATTTTTGCTCATCTGAATGCACTGCAAAATCTAGCTTAATTTCAAGTCAATGCACGCTAATGTGATTTAAATGCACAAGCAATCGATAGCCTTGAATAGGTCAGTATCAAATTAATAATGTGGCCAATGTTTAGTCCAATCTAATTCTAAGCTTATGGCATATCACCTTAGCCTTAGTGCAGATGTTAGCAAATAACCAAACAAAAACATCACAGAAAGTAAGAATAAGAAAAGCCAATCATAACTGTCAATTGAGAGGGTGGGGGAGAGATGTAAATGTATGATGACAAGCTTAGAAGATTGAGCATTGGATTAATTGGTCAAAAAATAATAAGAAACAATTGATAAGCAATTAACAATTAATTGGTACAACCCAAAGGGGTACTTCAATTTTAATTCACCGCAAAAATTATTATTATTCACAGTTCCAATAAAACAAATGTTCTTTTGAATAAAAACGTTTAATTCAACGCAAAAATTATTGTACATTATACACTATTTCACATTTCCATTCAAACAAATGTTCTTTTGCATTAAAACATATTTACTTCTTTTAAAATCCTCGGTTACTGTTGTTGCCAAATTTGAACTATATTGTCTAGAATGGCATTGAATACATTCAAACACTTTAACACGTCATTTTAACACATTCAAACGTGCCGACACAAAATGAACCCACACATACAAGAATCAAGCATATGTCTATGTGTGCCATTGTTTCTCTCTGTTGCCAATTTCCATGTATGTTCAATGCGTTGAGTATTGGCATTCTGTTAACTTTGTGGTTGTTAGCACATCGTCTGACAGTATGTATAAAAAGTGTTCTTGTAGAAACAAGATACAACTGAATTTATTGTGAACTAATGCAGAAATTGTTAAAGAATTCATGGTGTTTACAGAAGCAGTTGTATTTATTAAACCGGCTATAAATGCATAGAATAGCAGTAATGATAATTTTTGCGGTGAATTAAAATTAAAGTACCCCCAAAGGACTTCCTTGAAAAATAACACCTGACAACACTGACACTGTCTTAATTCATTTTTTTTCTAAATTAACTAGGCAAAAATATTCTGATAGTAGCCTTATTTATACATATTACTTATTGTTTTAGTTTTATAATAAGTAATAAGGCTAAGGCCAATGCTTTGCCAGTGACAGCTGGCTTATGTTTGTTACACTCATGAACCTTCTAGCCTACTATATATTTTTACCATAAGATTTAGATAGGTAGGACTTAAATTATATTTTAAGTTTAAGAAAATATGAGGCATATCTGTGGCCATGGCAGAGAGGGAGGCCATGACAAAAAACATAGCCCATAATAATATTTTTAAATTCATGATTCATACGATGATAAGTGCAGGCTAATCATCCTAGACTAGACTGGTCTGAACATAAACTAATGCATTATTATTCAAACTAACTTCTAAAAAATTTCATATTTGCCCCATGAGTATAAGTATAGTACTATAATAATAATAATAATAGTCTGATTTTGATTAATGAGATTGTCTTGACTGGTAGTTATCGAAAAAAGGTTGCAGTTAACAAATGCTTATTCTGTCATACGTAGCACATAAAAATAAAAGAAATAGTTTTAATTTGGTATATTTTCTGTGATGTACGTACCATGGCGGTAATTGAAAATATATATTTTCTTCCTTGAATTAAGTGAAAAATCGATTTATCAGTCTAAGATCCCATGATTATGGTTGTAGAAATAGATTGAACTTCTGAACTTACAACTACTCTTTTACGTTAAAAATGAATAAACATATCAGCTTCAACTATCGCATTTTAAAGTGATTTAAAAATATAATAATTAAAATTTTCATTTTTTATCATGAATTTTTGAATTAGTCTATTTAAAAATTTAAAATATTTGTATCATTAGGGTCCTAATTCTGTAGTGAAGGGTTTTTGCCATGTTGGATCATCGGGGTAGGGTCTTTGAGATTAAGATTAATTTAAATTCATTAAATCAAAAAAGGATTTATATTTTCATACTTATTTTATACTGGTTAATTTCATTATGGTTAAGCTCCATCGTTAATGCTATGTTTGGATTGAACTATTTGCAAGAAATAGGTTTCGATTAAAAATTGAGAGAAATGTATAGAGCATATACATGGGCGCCCGCAGGTAGGGGCAAGGTGGGGCACTTGCCCCCCCCCCCCTGGATAGATTGGAAAAAAAAAATAAGAGAAAAAAAATAGACAAAAAATGTATTAAAGTAAAGAGAAAATAAAGAGAAAGTAACTAAGCTGATGTCCTGTCCGTTCGTTCACCATACAAATACGCTACAGTAAATTAAAACTATATTAAAACATTACTAAAAAAATAGACAAAAAATGTATTAAAGTAAAGAGAAAATAAAGAGAAAGTAACTAAGCTGATGTCCTGTCCGTTCGTTCACCATACAAATACGCTACAGTAAATTAAAACTATATTAAAACATTACTAAAAAATTTTTGCGCCCCCCCCCCTGGAAAGTTAATCGCTTTTTTTTGCCCCTCCCCCTTAGAAAGTTTTCTGCGGGCGCCAATGAGCATATATGAGAACAGGGAAAGTAAATGTATAATGAAGATGCTGTCATGGGAGGACCTGGGGTGAGTTGCGTCATAATCATAAAGGCCGATCCAGGCCCACCGGGCAGGGCCATCTCGATGGTGGCTGGCGCCCTGTGCAAGCTTAACTTTGGCGTCCCATATAGGTATAATAGGTTCAGGAAAAAAAACAAGATATTCGGTAATGAGTTTATTTCCTATGTTGTTTGTTGTTGTTTTTTTTTAACAAACAATGAACTGTTAATTTTTAATGTTTAAATTCATAAGGGGTGCCAAAGTTAAGCCTTGGTAAACTTTCGCCCTGTGCGCAGAACCTATTCAGCGCCCCCTTCCCAGTCCCTGTATCAGAGGCGTAGCTGGGGGGCAGGGGGGACAGATTCTCAGGGCACCAGCTAGTTAGGGGCGCCAAAATGTGCTTTGATATTATTTGATTGATGAAAATAATGGGCTTGGGAGTTGAAAAAAATAAAAAAAAGGGGCGCTTTCAAATGGATCTTGTCCCCGGGCACGAATCTTGTCCCCGGGCCCCAAACACCCTCACTACGCCCCTACCCTGTGTTGCTCCACTCTTTTTTCGTTCGATTGCGGCGTAATTTTTCTGCTATGCGCTTGCGATTTTGCGCCTCCGGCAAGCTTTTTGTTTCCCATATTCTTTTTGCTGAAATAATTATTATTGTAAGAGGGACAAGGAAATACGGTATTAATTTCCCTGCCCTTTCGTTTGGTTCCAACACTATTGTTAGTATCCAAATTAATAACGCAACTTTCATTGTCTGAAATTACTCATTGTAT